TACTGGAGTAATATTTTATTATACGTATCTGTACTTTTACTCAAGTACTTGATTTGTGTACTTCGTCCACCACTGTTGAAATACTGTTATAGTTTGTAATATTTTGAATTATATATATCTTCCTTTCCTTTATATCTTAATTTTAGTTGAAGTTTTAGTCATTTTGTTGTGCTTTTGTCAGTTTTATTTTTCTTAACATTTAATATGTCTATATATAGTTTTTATTCAATTTTATTTCAGTTTTAGTTTTTTTAGTACATCAAGTTAAAATAAATGAAAATGAGAAATGTTACTTTGGTAACTAGCTAAAATAAAATACATTTTATATATGTATGTATTTATTTATTTTAGGTTAACGTTTATTTAAAATAAAATGCTTTATGGTTTTAGTTAACTATAATAACCCTGGATAGAGTCAGGTTCATAATTTCTTGTCTGATTTTGTTGGCATAGCAGAGTTAAAGGTTTTTCCAGAGTGGATTTTGGATTTCTCTTTTTATCACTCCATAAATCAGAAAACAAATACATTTTCACCATGTTTTTAGAAGTAAAATGCTGTATAAATCAGTGTGAATGAAATCTCTGTAAAAGCCTTCAGAATATAGACAGGAATGGTGTATGTAAGTGCTGCTGAAGTGGAGAAACAGCTTCACTTCCATTCTTACAACACATGATACATAAAGAACACAGTGCAAATCAATTACAGCAGACGTGATCGAGAATATGGTAATAAAATGTGCAAACGTGATGCAAATGAGGACGAAAACATGTGCTGCTCCCGAGGCAACCAATCACATTCATAACCTCATCAACACCGAGAGCGTATGAAATATGTATGACAGACACAGATTAATCACACATTCACACTTTTACACTCTGAGGTTGCACTGCACTTTGTATTTGTACTTGAATTTACAACCCCGAAACAACCTTGTTCAAAAGTTTACCTATATTATTGCATCTTCATATTTGAACTCTTCCTGACTTTATGATTTTGAGATCCATCTTTTCACATTGACAACTCAACTATTACAAAGATGCCCTTGTGTGTGTGTGTGTGTGTGTGTGTGTGTGTGTGTGCTATTATTTTGTTTGAACATCTGTTCTATGAAAACAATTAAAACAATTAAATTAAATCAAATTATTAACATTCAGTTTAGTCAAGGTGTGTCTAAACTTTTGATCTTTTTGATCTTTTTGATATTAAATCACATTGTTTGCTTATAAAAAAGCTTTTAACATGCTGATAGCCAGATTAATGAGCGCTTTTAATCGCAGGCTGCCACGGCATCACAAAAACAGAACTGTCACCTACTAGAGTTCAACCAAACGGCCGGCTTCAGCCCCCACTGACCTCACCGACATCAGATTTACCAGCTAAAGGGGCTTTTCATTTTCACGGCAAAACCGCAAGTTTACACTACGAAAAGACTGTGCACATGGGAGAAATGAAGGAGGGAACCTGAGAAAACCAACAAAGACTTGATTTCTAAAGAGGTGACAGCCTTGAAATACAACACTGACCAAAACGGCACTGTGTTTTAAAACATATCATATCTAATCATTACAAAAACCTGACAGTGTGGCAGCGCAATTACATTTCATTATATCCCCCAAACAATATACTTCCACTAAACCTTCTATGGCGCCGTTAAAATAAAGCATGTGACCTTCAGTCTCTCTCGCTGATAACAGATTAAGAACAATGCAAATGATGAAAGAGACCTATTCAACATGAGGCGCTTTGTTATACTTCTATAAAGCACAAGGGCAAAGAAACACACTGATGATCTCTGGCTTCTGTGCGAGCATTTCCAGATTTGTACTACAGTACACTGCATTCATGTAAGTATTTGCATTATTCTGAAGAACATGTGAGTGATTGTTACCAGTCCCAGTGTGAAAGAGCCCAGATCTCTGTGTCATTCTGGTCTCAACATCGAGATCAAATACACACAGCATTTAGAACAGATCCCTGACCTTGTACATCAACAGTGATGGTCTTTGCATAGACCACTGATACAGCCCATCTGACTGAGAAGAAGCAA